ATTTTTCGTGCAGTCATTGACATACGAATGATCGTTTTCCTGTCCAAATTCAGAGAGGACATGAGTCACATGGCAAACCAGCTATTCAATCTGTGAGTCGCAGGCGTATTCAGGGTTGGCTTTCACTACGTACAGTACACGCTAGAATTCGTGCAACATGCTGACATATGCGAAAAATTGATACTTTTTCGCTAATCGGCATTGACTCAGGTTGTGATACTGATTATCGTGCAGTCTATTCTGAAGTTATTTCAGTCATGATTGGATGGGAGCTTTTTAATGAGCCTCGTTCTGAGTACTTACAAAACGTATGTACTATAAAAAATAACTGCTTAAATAGTATGAATTTTTATCATTGATTTTGACTGTCTTTATAAATTAAAAAAATATATTTTATGGAAAACGCAAATGAAAAAATTATTTATTTTACACGTTTGGTAGCAAATTACGCCTTGTTTACATTTAATACTTGATGAAACTGGGAGGTTTCTCGCTCGCAAACACGGATTTCTTGTTTTAAGTGCCATTATATCTGACGTACACAATCGTCTGCATCGATTTCAGACAGTAATCTCCGACCTCAGGAATCAGTACCTTTCAGCCTTACCTGAAAATATTATCGAAAAGGTACTACAACGCATAAATGCCAGCACCAAGGATGCTCGTACGACGAAGCGAGTCGAACTTCAAGAAAAGCTCTAAGCCCTTTTTGAGCCTACCAATGACACACCCTATGCCCGTGGAGGTTGTGAATCTTTCGAAGGGGAGTCTCACGCCCGCCGAAACCAGCCTTCTCTCTAAAGGAATACGGTTTAGTCACACTTATGCTGCACCCGCGAGCTTCTTAGCCGGCCTTGAATTCCTCCTCTTAACGTCATCCGTCCCTGAAGGCACGCGTGCAGAAATATGGAGCTGTGCTACTGGCCTCCTTCGAAAAAGGAAATATCATAAACCATACCGACTGAAGAAGAAGAAGAAAGGGGATTACGCGTCCTGAAATCGGACGAGAGTATCGTTATTTTATCCGCCGACAAAAGTGGTGCAACGGTCATCAAGGACAAGGTTGACTACGTCAATAAGGCCAACCATGCCTTTAATGACAGGGCGTCCTACCTTCCAATCGCTAAGGATCAAACGAAAAAACAGGCCGCATCCGTCAAGAAAAAGGTGAACGGCTCACTAGACTGAAGCTCCGATTAGAAAAAGGTGAACGAGCTCACTACACTGAAGCTTATAAACCCCGCGGACTCGAGATTCCTTAACCACAATGATCCC